GCCATGTAACTCACTGGTTTAAGGGACGATGGGTTTGCGGGAGGTGCGGAGATAGTCGTGCTCGTCGTGGGGACCTCGCGCGCCTTCCGTGTCTTGGGGATCCTAAAGGGGTCGGAGAAGCTCACCCGTCCCATAAGCTATGGCGCACTGGTCCAATGGTTTGGTGTTTTGAATGCGCCGCCAGATGTGTGTCTAGGGCTTTTTTGATTTCCAAACCGTGTTTGGGGAGACCGCCCCTGGGGTCTGCGAGGCACTTCAAGAGAAGGTACCTCATCCAGGGGCGGGGCCCTTCTGGAGAGAAAGTCGGTAATGGTTTCAATAGGCCTGTTCCTATTTTCGCTTGTGTCGTCCGTTGAGCGTTCGACGGGATTATGAGTATTGCTTTTTGGCCTGGTGCATCGTTCTCGGCACACCTCGTCGTCATCCAGAGTCTCCAGAACCTCCTCCTCCTCCTCCTCCTCCTCCAACTCCTCCTCCTCCTCCTCCCCCTCCTCCTCCTCCTCCCCCTCCTCCTCCTCCTCCTGCTCCTGCTCCTCCTCCTCCTCTTCCTCCCCCTCCTCCTCCTCCTCCGCCTCCGCCTCCTCCTCCTCCTCCTCCTCCTCCTCCTCCTCCTCCTCCTCGCTCCTCCCTCCTCCTCCTCCTCCTCCTCCTCCTCCTCCTCCCCTCCTCTCCTCCTCCTCCTCCTCCTCCTCCTATTCCCCCTCCTCCATCCTCTCCTTCCCCCTTCTTCTCCTCCTCCTCCTCCTCCTCCTCCTCCTTCCTCCTCCTCCTCCTCCTCCTCCTGCTCTCCTCCTCCTCCTCTCCTCCTCCTCCTCCCCCCCGTCCTCCTCCTCCTCCTCCTCCTCCTCCTCCTCCTCCTCCTCCTCCTCCTCCTCCTCCTCCTCCCCCTCCTCCCCCCGCCCGTCGTACATCCGACTGCGTGCGAGGGCGCCGAGGACGCGCTGTCGGAGGCGGACCCCCTGGAGGCCTCGCAGGTCGCGGCGGACGGCGCCCGAAGGAGCCCCGCGGCGCGGTCCCCCGAGCGCTTCTTGGGCGCCGCCTCGGGGCCCACGGGGCCCGCTTCGGCGCCCGTGGAAGCGGCGGCGGCGGCGGCGGACGCCTCCGCGGGCTCGGCGGCAGGCGACTCGGAGGGGGAGGGAAACCCCCGACCCCAGACCCCCTCGGGCTGCTGACACATCACGACGGGAGGTTTTCCGCTATCTTCGGCCTCCGGGGGCCTCTCCCGGGCCATGGGACCGTCAAGAGACGACTCCGGATGAAAAGCCCGTCCCAGGGAAGGGTTCCGGCCTCGGGAGGTCGTCGTTGGGAAGAAATCGCGACGTCGGGGGCCTGCGCGTCGTAACAACAGTCGCGGCCCCTGAGACCCTGGAGATCCATTTTTGTCTTGGGCCGGGTTTGGGCCGCGGGGCCCTCACAGGTCGGTCTGGCTCGAAAAATGACGCAGGAAGACGGGGTCCAGGGCTCTGTCGTGATCTCCCACGGTGGGCCAATTTCCTCGGGTCGGCGACCTCGGGGGCGGGAGGTTTCTGGTCACCGTCGGCCTCCCGGGGCCCTCGCCGGGCCCCAGGACCGTCAAAAAACGATTCTAATTCGAAGGAATTTCTTTGAATTCAAGGGAATTTCCATGACAATGAGGTGAGATTGCTTTTATCGCGGGATGAAAATCCCGAGGAAGGGGTCGAGACCTCCAGGGACGACGTTGAGACAAAGTCTCGACGTCGCGGGCCTGTGCTCGCGTCGTGAAACATTCACCACCGGAGGTGTCTGGCCATCTTCGGCCTCCGCGGGCCCGAGCCGCGCCCCCGGACCGTCAACAGATCATTCGGGATGAGAGAGACTGGTCCTGGGGAAAGGGTCTGGACTTTCGTGGGGCCGCAGACTGAAGCAGTCAGGAAGTCGCACGTCTGGGGAAGTATCGATACCGCTGCAGTCGAGTTCGATGAGCGGGTCGGCCTTGCCAAATCATGGGTGCGCTTGTGTCCGGCGCTTCGCGGCCTAGGCTGAAGTCGGGCATGTCCCTTTACAGGGGGAATGTTCAAAAATAGTCAGAAAATGGTCTGGGGACGATATATATATATATATATATATATATATATATATATATATATATATATATATATATATATAGCATGTGTTTCACATGTCTTGAGCAATCTTATTTTTCGTCCCAAATCCGCCTGTAGAGGGACATGCCCGACCTAAGCCTAGGCCTTCGACACTCCTGGGGCAGCGTGGCCCTTGGCAGGGTGTGGTGCCCTCTCGCGTGTCCTCTCCCATCGAAGAAAAACGGCCACCGCTCACCAAACCAACCCAACCCATCCCGAAGGCCCCGATTTGCCCTCAATTACCAGTGGGGTGGGCTCATGGCACATTGAAAAACACGTTTGGAATCCCTACCCCCACCGACCCGAAATTCGGGCCTTCGGGTTAGGTTGGGGTGGTCTGGTAGGTAGTCAGACTGCACCCGTCCCTCGTGCTCGCATTTTCAGACTTCGGCGCCACGCCGACGTAGTCACATTGTGCGCGCGTTGCCCCCCACAGGGCGACGCGCGCACCGAGGAATCTTACAATATTTTTATATACATATACGTATGTGCATATATATATATATATATATATATATATATATGTATGTATATCCTCCGTGGCGGGCGCCCTGGGGCTGTACCGCTCTGGAAACGATTTACTACCGGATGGTTAATGCAATACGTTCGGCTCGGATGCGCGCCCCCAAGCAGGACACGCAGTAATTCACGAACGAACAACACACACCCATACCCATACCCATAGGGGGGTCGTTGGGAGGAGGACTGGCTATTGGTATGGGTGCGGGTTGTCGGACCCTCGGGAACGCTCCCGTTCGAGCGGGGACCCCCATTCGACAATACGCACCCATAGCCCTCTCCGACCTCCCTATGGGTATGGGTGTGTGTTGTTGGCTCGTCAGTAATACTCCCCAATCAGTGCTTGCACTGACGGGGGCCTCGCAGAAACTGAAAGATTTGGCACAAGTGTCCCGCCGATTCTGGTGGCCGGCTGGGCTCCTGGGTTCCTGGTTCTGGGTTCCTGGTTGTTGGTTCCATTTTCGGTGGGTTCCCGGGTTCCCAGGCTCCCGGGCTCCCGGTCGATCTCCTCATCGATCTCAAATCATCCACTGATTGGCTTCTTCTCTGGTGTAATTATGTCTTGGGCGTTGGTTGCAATCACCCTCGCCCTCATTCTTCCAGACCTTCCGTGCTGACCTTCCACACTCTTGCGCTTCGTGAGATGCCGAGTTTTCTTGCGCTCCCCGAGGCTTTCAAGAGTTTCAATGCATCACCTTCCGCGCCTTCCGCAGAGGTCGGAAGGTACTCCAGATTTCGTAATAAAGGGAGGGGGGTCTCATTTCGGGGGGGGTCTCTTCCAGGCCATCTTGGAGGGCATGGGGGGGTCTGGGGACGATGTTTTGGAGGGTTTCTTCCACGGGGGGGGTCTAACACTTTTCGTCTGGGAGGGTTGAGACCCCCTCCCTTTTATTACGAAACCTGGAGTACGGGAGATGGAGGTGGAGGGCAAGCGCTAACCTCGGCAGCAGCCCGTAGCCATTTTGGCTCAAGTTCCAACGCTGCTCCCGTCGTTGGAGCTTGATCGCAGCCAAGGGGGCGGCTCAAGGCCCCCGTGCTTTCAGTTTTCACTTTTGTGCTCGCCCCCAGTGCCTGCCCAGGCTGGGTGAGTACGCGTTCTGGCACCTTCACTACTGCGGCGCTGTGTCCATGGGCTCGAGAGATGTTCTCTTGGGGCCGCGGAAGCCGCTGTGGGCTTGCACTAAGTGCCACCGCTCTGGCAACTGGGCGTCTCGCATCAAGTGTGCATGCGGCTCGGCCGTTCCGCCATCAGTCCAGAAGAGTGCGAAGGCCGCCCATGATCAGGTGGTCGCAGGTGGTGCCAGCAAGGGTTCGCAGCCGAAGGGGCAGTGGAGCTCGGGCAGTCCGCTCGACGCCACGCTCAAGAAGATCTTGGGGCGCCTCGAGGGTCTCGAGAAGAAGTCGGCGACGTACACATCGTCCTCTCCACCACCGCCGTGGAGGTCGGAGGGCGACAGCGCAGGTGGACTGTCCCCGCCCGACGACCAGAAGGAGGCCAAGGAGCGTCTGGCACACTGGCAGAGGGCGGCTCGCAACTCAGTCCACCAGGAGGACAGGTTGCTGGCAGAGGAGATGGCTGCCAAAATTCACAAGGCCATCAATGACGCGAAGCCGGCACATGTCCAGCAGCACAGCACCACCACCAGGCTTGAGCGGGCGCGGTCCACGGCGGCCACGCTCGAGACCAAGTTGGCGACGGTCACGAAGGAGGTGGAGGAGGCGCGCAAGATGCTCGAGGAACGCCTCAAGTGCGCCAGGGAGTCCCTGGTGGAGGCGCAGCGGCAGGTCGCGGCCCTCGAGCAAGAGGCCAAGGAGTGCTTCGCCAAGTCCCTGGCCAAGTCGAACGGGCCTGTTCTCAAGCTGGAGGAGCAGCAGCTGGGGTCTGCCTCGGTTGAGTTTCGTGAGTGGTTCCGCGCGCAGAAAGGAGATGAACAGGGCTCTAAGCGCCTCGAGGCCCTGTTCGGCATGCTCGAGGCCCAAGCGGTCGCTGCTCGCAACGGTGTTTCTTCTCCTCCTGCTGTGCCATGTGGTGCTGATGACATGGAGATTGACGAGGATGACGAGCAGTCCTTCGAAGAGGCCGCCGAGGCTCTACGGCAAGCTAAGGAGAGAGCGGCTGCTGCTGAGGGAGATGGAGTCGAGGCAGCACGTGAGGATCTCAGAGAAGCAAGGCGCAAGCTACAGTCTCAGCTCCAGGCGGCTGCCGCCAAGAGACAGAAACGTTGGTAGTATTGCGTCTGATCTCCTGGAGGACAAGGTCATTGACACGGAATGGACTGGCTTGGCGTTTCAAGTACCAGCATTGCGCACGGAGTTTACCTTCCAGGATGCACGTCACGACCCTAGGTTTTCAGAGTCGTTGAGGCTGACGACCAGGTCAGGATCGACAGCGGCGTGGACGCGTTCGGCACCATCCCATGTGGGCTCAGCTGAGAAGGCCAAGATGTCCCCTCCCGAATACCCGCATGGTGGAGTTCGACCTGAGGCCAGAGGGGAGGTCAGATCGGCTGGAGCTGGGGCCCACTCGTCGACAGACCTGGCCGCTGCAGACCCTCCGAGCCCTGCGGGTGGCCAAGGCTTTAAATCGGGGGAGCGTCTCAGTGGCCAGGTCGGTGCGTTGCATGTCTCACAGTATTGTCGGCGAGAAGCAGGGATAGCGGCACATGCATCGTCTGCCGCACTTGCTCCGCTGCCGTTGCCGTCAGATTCTGCTAAGTCTTCAGCTGGAGCTTCTCCCTCCCCGAGCTGCACCAGGATCAGGAAGGGCAAGAAAGCCAGGGATAGGAGGAGTTGCTGGGTGTTTTTCTCCTGTAATGCCAACTCCTGGGCGTCTTGGGAAACTATCCTGGACTGGCGTATGGAGGATGCGAGGGGCCCGCGGCCCCAGTTTTGGGCAGGGCAGGAGGCCCGAGTCTTGGAGGCTGCTCAGATTGCCAAGTTCAAAGGCTCGATGAGGTCGAAGGGCCTCAACATCGACTTCTGCCCCGCAGTACCCACAGGAACTGGTGCATTAGAGACTTCGGCTGGTGTGATGGCTGGAGGCCTTTCGCACATCAACCAGTGTACTGTATCTTTGGAGGGTCTGAAGTCCGTACCTGAAGCACAGGGTCGAGTGATAGCTAGACATGTTAACGGTGTTGTTCCAGGAGGTTGTGTTTGGCTGTCCGTGTATTTCTACCACTCTCAGGGTGTCAGCAGGGGCAACGTGGGCCTCCTGGCGGGGCTTGGCTAGTTTCTAAGTTTCTTGGGAGCCTCGCGGTGCCTTGGATCCTGGGTTGTGATGCTAACATGGGGCCCCATACCTCGGGATTGATTTCCTGGTGTACTGAGCTAGGGGCTACCATCGTGGCTCCGACGTCGACGACCTGTGTGCTGCTGGTAAGGGGCAGGTGTATGACTATGTTATTTTATCGGCTGGGCTCTGTTCGTGCGTTGAGAAGGTGCAGGTTTGGAATGATGCTCCAGCTTCGCCCCATTCCCCTGTGGAAATATCGCTTGTGGGGTGTCGCTGAATATTCCCATCCATGTTCGATGTGTTTGGAAACGATTTCCGACCCAGAAGCCCACGGGGCGTGAAAGGGAGCCCGTCGAGTACAATTGGTCGTGGCTCTCTGGGGGCACGGGGGACATGGAGCTCATGCACGTTTGGGATCAGTGGATTGATTTTACTGAGCTGGAGCTGTGCCGAGTTTTTGATATCCAAGGGGCTGAGCAGGACCTGTACGTTGGACGTTCTTCTGGATTCAGGAGACAGCAGGTTTCCCTGGACACGATCGCAAAAGAGAAATGGTTTGCTAACACCACGGCTCAGCTCAGATCTTGGCGCACTCTTGTTTCGTTACTGGTCAAAGCGACGGCCTGCCTGGACGACCTGTCCAACTCCGCGTATTGGCAGACGCTGCGCTCTGGCCTCTTGAAGCTGGACCAGAAGTCCCTTGGTCCCAAGTTTTTGTGCCTTGCCCTTAGCCTGCCCCGGCTGATTGGGATCATTGAAGACTCTGACGGGGCCGATCTGGGTTATCTCACTCCCACTGCTCAATCCACCTACGAACGCATGTTCAGGGATCACTGTAGCAGGAAATGGGCTAGGTGGAGGTCTTGGGCTCAGGAGGCAGTAACTAAGGGCGGCAAGGCGGCGCATGCTTTTTCTAAGGAGCGCCCACCTGCAGTTGGCCCGCTTTCTCCACAAGGCTGGGCGCTGCAAGGGGGCCAAGCCGTTGAGGCCTTGAAGTCCGAGTGGTGCCAGTACTGGTGCAGCCATCGGCGCCCGCTCACTACGCAGCATCACCGCCGCGCAGACGAGGCCCCCCCGCCCCCTCGGCCAGACATTGAAGTGTTGAAGTGGGCGCTCAGTAAGTTGCAGCACGACACGGGGTTAGGTGTGGACTGCATGAACCCCAGGTGTTGGCTACTGTTGCCTCGGGACTTCCTGGAGCGTTTGATTGACCTCGTGATGTTATGGGAAAGAAAGCCGTCCCTCCCAAGCAAACATGCCACCCAAATCATCTTCCAGGGCAAACCGGATGGTGCTGGATTGCGCCCATTGGCTTTAATTGTCAGCGTCCTCAGGGTCTGGGCCAAAGTTCGTCAGGTGGTGACTCGTTCTTGGGAGTTGGAACATTCGGCGGAGTTCTTCTGGGGAGCTAGAGACAAGGAATGCGATCGAGCTGGGTGGCAGCATGCTATGCTCAATGAATTTGCTAGCATCCAGAAGTTTGACGCTGGCACGTGGTTTGGTGACCTAGATAAGTTCTATGTGCGCGTGGGGCCTGCGATATTATTTGGCGAAGCGGAGGCCACGGGCATGCATCTAGGGCTCACTCGTGCAGCAATAGTCTTGCACACTGGCGCGCGAGCTTTGCATTTCCAGGGCGCAGTGTCCAACCTGATCGAGGCGATGGGCACTATTTTAGCAGGATGCAGTTTGGCCACCACTTTTGCCAATGTTGTTTTGTATAGTCTGCTGGTTGCGGTCGCAGCTGCCTTCCCTTCCCTGACAATACGTAATGTGATTGATGATGTTTCGATCCAGGCCCTAGGGACCGCTGATTTTGTCAGTGAACAACTCGGGAAGGCAGCCATCATGATGAAGGACGGTTTTGAGATGTTGAAGTTGATCTTTTCGGGGAAGAAAACGAAGCACATCGCGTCCTCAAAGCAGCTAGCTTTGGCCTTGGCGCTCAAGTGGGCCAAGTTCGGTTTCAAGCAGCAGCAGTATGTCAGGTCTCTTGGATGTGATGCAGTTGCGCAGAGGATTCGGCGCAACCCGACGGCCAGGAAAAGACTGGCTAAAGCAGGACGGAGAGTCTCTAGGACCAGGAGGCTTAAGAACGCTGGGGCTCTGGTTGGGAACATGCAGAGGTCGGGTCCTCAGGCATGTGGGCGCTGGGGCTCGGCAGTAGCTGGTCTGACTCCCAGGCAGGTGCATAATATGCGTTTGTCAGCTTCCAGGAGCCTATGCAAGGATAAAGCTGGAGCTCTCATGTCGTTCAGATTGCGTTCGTTTCCTACTGGGGCTTCTATGGATCCGTATGTTATTTACCATGGTAATGTTATATATCAATGGTGCCGTGCTGTGTGGGATGGGTCCCCTGGGCTCCACATCATCCAGAAGGTGTTTGAGAAGGCTTCTGATGACCTTTGGAGATCCAGAAGGCCCTGGCACGTCTGCACTTCGCCTGCGCACGTGTACTTATTGACTACGGCTGAGCTGGGTTGGAGACCGCTCTCGGCCAGAAAGATACGGCTTTGTGACGGAGAAATGATCGACCTGCGACCTGCTGGAGCTTGCACCGCTGGCAGCCAGAATGCTTGCGGAGCGTGATGCAGGACACTGGGCTGACAAAAGGGCCCTCATGAAACGACCCAAGTGTAGCACTGTCTGGTGTAGGCCTGTGTATTGGGAAGGAGCCAGGAGTCTGATGTCTAGAAAAGCCTCGGGCACCTGAACCAAGCACCACCAGGCTTGCGCTAGAAACACCTTTTCCCTGGGGACCTGGGCGCAGGCTCGCCTTAAGGATCACGGGCTTGCCGATGAGGGCCTCTGCCAGCTTTGCCGTGCCGAGCGAGGAACTCTGTACCACAGGCGCTTCAGGTGCGAGGCCTTCCTGGAGGACAGAGGCGTGCATCTCTCGGCGCAGTGCATGCAGGCCGCCCGCCATGCTCGTGACATGAACCAGGATTTGGAAAAGTTTGCCGCAGGTGTGCTACCCTGTCCCAAAGAACTGACCCCGCAGCCCCTAGGTAGAGATAAATGTTCTATTTGTTGGTTCAGCAAGCCAACCTCAGGTAAACTCCAGGGCTTGATTTTCTCCGACGGGTCCGCGGCCCACCCCACCTGTGATTTCAGGAGACGTGCGGGGTGGAGCCTCGTACAGGTGAGCTCCCAAGGGGAGATGTTGTGTGCTGCCTTCGAACCCGTGCCCAGGGAGGTTGTTGCGCCTAGCCAGCAGGCCAGGGATGGTGAGGACTATGCCTACAGGATGGCGGCTGAGCTTGTGGACCCTTTTTCCGACTGTGAGATTTGTACTGACTGTTCTGGGATTCTTGGGTGCGTGTGGGATAGGGCCAAGAGTTGTTCGTCCCAGAATTCCAGGGCCCACCTCTGGAGCTTTGTTTGGCACGTGTTTGAGGGCGGTCTGAAAGCCAGGAAGGTCAAAGGCCACGCCACAATGGCTGACGTTCTAAATGGGGTGCGCAGTGATTTAGATAGGCTCGGCAATAAGCATGCGGATCGGTTTGCCAGGCTAGGAGCTGGCATGCACCCCATGCCCGAGATGATGGTTCAGGCCATCGACACCTGTCGTTCGGTCCAAGAAGAGATCGTACGATGGGGAGCTATTCAGGATGCCATCATGGCCGATAGAGGTTGGGCTGACGCGTCTGGGTACCCTGGGCCTGCCGATGCTGAGAAATCGGAGCGCGATTTCCCCATCCTTGATAAGAAGGGCCTAATTCGATGTCAGGTCAGGGCTTTGCGTCAGCTTTCGGCGCCCTGGTGGCCTCGAGTCGATTTTCGAGTGCCGATCCTCTCGGACACAGGGTCCGATAACCCTGGCAGCCCTGAGCAGTTGTCTGAGCTATCCTTGCTGGCCCGCCTCCAGGGGCACAACCTTTGCAAAGCAAAGGTCTTCGTGGGGGACGGGAGTCGGGCGGCTGGGAGTGGGTGGGTGATGTCATGCATTTGCTGCGGTGGCTATGCGTGGGCAGGAGTGGCCTCGCTAGCCAATAAATGCCCTGGCCACCCCCCCACTAAGGACCTCAAGCGACAGAGGACGAGGTTTGCTAAAGGTGATTTTCCTAGTTGGGCTCGGCAGTACAAAGGTTGGTCGGTCACTGGCCACCGATCGACAACCCTCTGGATCTTGTTTCCCTGGTCCGTGCGTCGCACAAAGGGGTCCAACTTTCAGGGGGGGCTGAGCCTATGGCGTGCG